CTTCTCCCCTCCTTTCTTGCTGTCGGTCAGGAGCAGTGGGTATCCTCAGGCAGGCCTGTTGGCTTGTCCCCATTTTTCCCATCAGTCCTCATACTTTTTTATGAAATAAATGACTATTCTCACTGGGTGAGTTTGCTAGAGCTGCTGTGACAAACTGCCACAAACCGGGTGGTTTAAAGCAACGGAAGTTATCTTCCCAGATGTCTGGAACCAGCTGTCAGGCGGGCTGGTCACTTTTGTAGGCTGAATCCATGCCATGCTGCTTTCCCAGCACTTGGTGGCAGCTGGGATCTGCCGGTGACCTGTGGCTCAGGGATGCATGACCCTGTCTCTGCTCCCATCCTCACCTCCTCTGGAGGGTCAGATCTCCTCCTCTTTTTAGGACATTAGTCACTGGGCTTAGGATTCACCATAAATCGAGGGTGATCTCATCCCAAGATCCTTAACTTAATCACGTCTACAGTGACCCTTTGTCCAAATAAGGCCATATTCACAGAATAGTGGAAGTTGGGGAAAAATGAAGACTTTTTTTGGTGACACATAGATGCATACCATATACATGTCTATTCAAAAATTCTTCTAAAGAGGTTTCCAAAAGCCCTAGTAAGACTCATTTTTGTGTCTTCCTAGTCACAAAGTATGCAATATTGTTTTCTCCCAACGGCAGTAGTTTAATCCCAATAAGTGTGTGATCCTAATTTCCTTTCCCTTACAGGAAGCTTGTCATGCTTGTACACACTCATCTCTCCTCCTTCAGAAGGAGCTGGCACTTGTGCTGTCCCCAAGAGAGGGACAACCACAGTCCTGCTGCTGTACCCCCTCTTTGTCGGGGGCTCCTTTCTCTGACTCTTCAGGCCCCATGTGGCTGCCTTCCTTCTTTGTTGTGGGCTGGCAGCCTTGCATTCCGTGCCTCCCATCACCCTCTCCATCCCAGGGTCCCTCCCATCAGTGGTCCCTCAGCGACTCTCATTGCTTCCTCCCTGCTGGACACCTCCCCTAAACTGATCCTCAGATCACTCCTAGGTTCATCTCAAAGCATCCGTATCAACATGCCAATCCTCAGAAACTCACTGTAAAGACACTGCGTGGGCTGGAGAGATGACTCCGTGGAGAAAGCGCTCACCATGCACACACAAGGACCTGAGTTTGACTTCCGGGAACCCATGGAAATCTAGGTGCGGCAGCATGCACTTGTGATCCTGCTGCTCCCGCATGAAGACAGGAGGTGGAGGTAGGCCCGTGTGCTTGGTGAACATGGTGGTGATCAATAGACAGACCCTGTCTCAATCAGGGTAGACGGTGAAGGCCAGCATACCTCCAGGAACACCCTGTGGCACTAGTGTTTCCACATGTATACACGGAAACTCATGTGCACACACATATTCATATAACACACAAACACATAATACACATACACACACATAGATGCCATACACACAATGATCTAAAAAGTAGTCTCTAAGTGACACATATGCAAGTATACCTGTGCACACACATATGTTAGTGTCTGTGTATGAGTATGTGTGTGCACACACTGAAACACACCAGCAAGTTAAGAACTGATGATGGTTTCACTGTGGCCATTTGTGTGTGTGTGTGTGTGTGTGTGTGTGTGTGTGTGTGTGTGTGAGATCCCTTCCTGTCCCATCCCACTGTCACATCACGGGAGTTCATCTGGAGCTTCATTATGTCATCTCTGGTAGGTTGTACCCATGGTTTGACTCGGGGACTATCAAATCCTTGGTCTGGCTCTCAGAGTTCTCACAAGCCTGCTGTCCACCCTCACCCCACCTCCCCCTTCACCCT